GAAGGAAGGAAGGAAGGAAGGAAGGAAGGAAGGAAGGAAGGAAGGAAGGAAGGAAGGAAGGAAGGAAGGAAGGAAGGAAGGAAGGAAGGAAGGAAGGAAAAATTAACAAATGCTACCAGCTCAATTTCAGGGCAATGACTTTCCTCCTAATTGTGCGTCAAATCACCTGACCTTCACATCACAGTGAACATACAAATAAAGAAAACATGAGACCAGATTATATCTCTGGTTGATCCAGCCTTTCTTTGGTCCTGATTCTGCTTTTTTACACATCAGGGTTAAGGTAACATTAAGGTAAAAACTGTGATATTCATGGCAAGGTAGGTGCAAAAAGTTGCATGAGGAAGATCAGGTCCTTCATATCCAGTGTGGAACTTCTGAGATAATTAATGAGGCATCAGCAGAAGGCAGTGCCCACACTAGGACAATTACAAATGAGCTCTTCTGGGAATGGCTGTCGCTGAAGCTTGGAGGATGAAAAGAAGGTGAAAATCTTCCACTGACTGCAAACATCCATCTGGCAAGGGAGGAGATGAAGCAAGCAAAGAAAAAAAATATATAAACATCCTCCTTGGGAACCCAGCATTCAGTCATACCATCCATCACTTCACCACTCTTTCACTCTATCACTTTATCACTCTTTCACTACTGCATGGGGCATTTATTCAGATGCAGGGCCCTGGGAGGAAAGGTAGCTGTGGAGCAGTTCTCTTTTGCTGTCTGAAAACAAAGAATTTGCTGGTCATCAGCTTTTGCCATGTCAAGAACAACCGCTCTCCTCCAAATCTAGGTCTCTTCATCTGAGGGCTAAACTCCCCCTACTACTAGTTTAGAGTGAGTATCTGGGGCCCAATCGTTTTTCTCTGCTTCAGGCTTTTTATCCAGCATGTTCCTCTGTCCACATCAATGATATCGGCTGGCTTGAACACCGAGAAGCAGAGACCCACAGTGCAGAATATACAAGAGAACCTTCTATTTAGAGTGATTATGCAGCATGCAGAGGTGTGGGAGTACAGTCAAGGTTGTTATTAAGATTGGCACAGTATCAACACCTATTGCTAGAGCTGTGGAGATCAGACAGCTTCTGACATAGCAAAGGCTTGGCAAAGAGGGAAAAAAATGCAATTATGCATGAATTTGGGAGTGGGACAGGCAATCCTCTAAGGACTTGTCCACACCAATTTGTTGGCAGAGATGAGGTGGCTCAGCCTGAACCTCCAATCAACAGAAGCCATGAATCCAAGACTGCTTCAGTCCTGTTGCAGGCTACTAAACCTTCTGTGAAGCAAAATATATTAGGTAAAGCTTAGCACTATGCTTATATGGCATCTGGCCAGCTTGATGTACGGGTAAAGCAAGCATGTGTCCATTGCAAAGTATTCAATGATCAAGGCCAACCATCAGTACAGATTTGCTCCATAGAGCCCACCATGAATGAATCTTGATACCATGGAATTTGAGCTGAACAGTCCCTAAAGTTTGAAAAGTCTTGGTAGAATCTTCCTCACTTGTGCATTTTGACCAAGGGTATTTCCTACATTTTGAATCTCACTGGTAAAATTAATGAAGAACTTTCACAGTATTTCTGCAGTGAACCCCACAAGAGCAACTGGGAAGGTTGGCCCAGGAGTTTAAAGGATTTTAGAAGAAATGTAGTGGTACATTCAAAATGATGAATGTCCAACTGAGGTTATATACCCAGAGGAGTATAGGTAGATTCAGCGTCCTTTACTCTGAGCCAACCAGATAAAAATCAGCCACAAGCTGGAAGCCAAGAAGTATTTTGGTGTGGTGTGGCTTTGTAAAATAGCTGACCTCCCCCCACCACAGATACATACCAAGCGGTTGGGTTGCAACCTAATTCAGGTTGCTGAAGATATGAGGCTCAATTTCAGGCAGTATCTTAATAGAAGAATAGCACTGAGCCTCACCAATCCAGCAAGGACCCATATCTACCCCCACCTACAGCTTCCTGAAATGTCCTGGAATGCTTCAGCTTGCACACTAGCTCTTACTCTCCACTTCTCTGGAGACTTGGATCACTGAAATTTTAAGATCAACTCAAGTGTTTATTTCCGCCCATAACATTTACTTCCACCAAATATTTGTCGAAGATCAGAAGAAGTTTTTCAGGAACGAGGTAAACACAAAGAAAAAAAAAATCAAAGAAAATATCAACATTTCAGTAAATCTTCCATCAAAAAAAAGTGAAGCTGGATGCATTCCAGATGCTCTGAGCATTGAAAAGTTGGATTCTTCCGCTAACAAAATGAAACAGGATGAGATCTTCTTCTGGGAACAGAAGTGTCCAGTTTAGTCAGACACTAGTTTCAGAAATGACAGAAATGGATGCAGTCTCCTGCACTAAGCCTGATTTCTCCCTTTTACCCCATGCTTAATTCCCCGCTACAGAACACAACTCCCACTTTAGAAAAGTAGGTTTATGATAAAGGCATTGGGAAGCACAAGCTCCCCAGACATGGGTTGCTTCCTGCTTGTTCACTCCCAACTCACTTCAGCCCTTTTTTTCTCTCACTGCTCCTTGCCTTGGGCTATACAAGTTCACATCACACACAGACAAATGGTGGCCTGCGATGAGCATCAATTGTGACATTTGATTTAAGTAGGTCTCGTTTCATCATGACTCTTCATGGGTAACTGGATAAAAGTGGGGGAGGAGCTCTATTAAAGCACAAAAATAAATATATAACTCAGTTCTAAACCATCTGAGAGCAACTGAAGAAAGAGAATTTGGATTTCAGTAGATAAGTCAGCTGCTTCCTTATATTCTCAACACAGTAACACAAGCTCCCCTCCTCTCCATACATTCTCCAACCTCCCTCCCTTCTCCAATACTACCTCAAATTCTTTCACTGTCTTATCTCTTCCCTTTCCTACACTAGGCATAGCTCTCTCATAAATCCCCCATCAGTTAAGCCAGAGGTTGGGTGCACTGGACTGTTCCTGGGTCAGCTGCTGGCCAGCCAAGCCATAAGCAAAATGCCAGTCCCACAACTGGCAATCCAGATCGGTAGGTAGTGGCTCATACCTAATTGCAGCCCCTTTCTCAGAAAAAAAAAAAAAAAAAAAAAAGTAAACAATAAAACTCTAACTTGCACCTCTCTCCTTCATCCTTAAGCCAAACTTTTGCAAAAACAGTGACCAGTATCTGAGAAAATGCAATGAAGCTCACCACCCTCTCCCTACAGAAAAGGAAGAGCTGGTCCAGTCCTGGTGGGGTTTCTGTCAGCATCAACACGGTGGGTAAATATTAAAAAAAACACTGGTTGCAATAAGAATATGAGTTCGTTTCTCTGGGAGTAGGATGTCCTAAAGGATTAGGCCCACAAATGTTGGAATTCTGTTTGCTTTCTTTGCTATGAAGTTTATTTGTCCTTCGTTCTTCCCATATACCTCTTCCACGTTTCTCCCTTTGGCAAAAGAAGCATCATTCATTTTATTTCTTCTGACTAACTACATCCCCTGACAGAAGGTGGTCAGACGTTGCAGGATTTGCACTTTGTAAGAAAAAATTTCCTTGGAAAGGGGGAAATGAGAAAGATTGGTTTAAAAAGAAATAATATTAGCACAATGACAGCAAGGCACTCTATCAAGATGCAAGAGACAGCAGTCCTATGTGTGTTTCCTAGCACCACGACTGAGGAGCAAATTGGCTACTGCCAAAGTACAGGCGTGGAAAAGGATGTCTGTCTTGGTGGAGATGGTTCCAAACGGCCCAGACTCTACCCACCTCCCAGGGGCTGCTGATAGGTGCCATCTGGAAGCATCCTGAAATGCAGCTATGTCCCTGTGACACTGGGAGACCTCTGCCTGGGCAAGGCAAGAGCAGAAGAGGCCTTTCTGAGTCAGAAGGCCTGCAATTCTGCCATGGAGCATGACAAGGGAGGAGGGAAGCAATCAATGACATCAGCTGGCATGGAAATAACAAGTGCCACTGCCTGGGGCTGCCTGCTGTCCTACCACCTCATCTCTCCGCCTAGCAGGGCAGAAGGACACTCCTATTTTTTATTTCCCTTTGCTTTCATCTTATTCTCGGCTTCTATTTCCCCTTTCTTCATTTATCCATTTTATCTTTTATCTTCCTTTCCCTGGCCACTATTCAGGACATACTCTGTCTTTTGATTCTTGCTCCTAATGTCCCTCCAGCTCTTCCCCCTTAACATGCTCTGTACTTCACTCTTTCCACCTCTTAGTTTCTGTACAACACTGTGAAAATTGACTTTATCTGAGTCATGCTTGTTCCATTACCCTGCTCTGGCTCCAGGGTCAAACAGGCTCCAATTAGAACAAAGTCAAAAAAATGGTATTTCTTAATGCCACACAGTTTGCCTGAGACCTTACAATCACGCTGTTCTTTCTGCTTTTTCTATCCTCAATACTGAGAAAAGCTGAGTAAACTCTTTGCAGGGACATCCTACTAATAAAGCCACTGGAAAAAAAAAAAAAGACTATTTATTTTGCTTCAAAATCAAATACAGATACAGAGGTTTGGAATTTGGGGTTGAAATCAGAGAGACTCATTCTACTATTCTGAAAAAAAGGCTCAGATCAGGTGATATATTTTAATTCAAAAACTGCTCAGAAACATTTGGTTTTGTTGTGCCATTGGACTAAAGGCTATTCACAGTCCTTGAACAGTTTCTTAAGCCACATTGT